GGCGGTGAGATCGCGCCCGGAAAATCCGCCTATCTTCCGTCTGTCTAGCGTGCCTAATGCTCCGTGTGACTGGGGCCTCTGCTTAGCTTCCAGATCTGACGATATTGGGCTAGGCCGGGCCATCCAGGCCGAGTCCTATTTAAATCTACAATGTCTAAAATATTATCAGATCTGGGTGGGTAGCCATGGTGGAGTGAAGCAGCAGAACAAAGTCTGAGTCCCCTGGCAGCTTGAATAAAACTTTGTCAGTCTTAAACGTGCCGCTGAGCTTGAACTGTGTTCTAAAATAGTATCCTTATCCCAGCACCTGACAAAAACCAAAACGTTTTAATAATCCTGTTGAGAAAAAAAAGATTCAGAACAGTCATCATAGCTATGATTTTTTAAATACAGATTTAGAATTCAGGCTATATCTGCTTTTCCCCCTTTGTCAACTGAAAGTTCTGTTAACTAGGGTAAGGCTATTCTTTAGTTTTCTTGGTCATACTCATCTGAACCAATGATTCACAGGTTCACAGGTGTCAACTTTTGTACACATAGCTGGTGAAGGTCCTGAGAATCAACACCAGAACACCTAAGAAGAGGGGTCATGGAATGGTTCGCATGACCCCCCCCCAAAAAAAAAGACACACAGCTGGATTACCTCAGGGCCAGGTTCCCCAGGAGGTCCTCTGGGTCCGGGTTCACCTTCTGGGCCAGCATCAGCCTAGAAAGAGAGAAGTGGATCAATGCGGATCCATATTTGTGTCTGCAAATCACAAATGCAGTCAAGTGAAAACAGAAGGCTGTTGACTTCCCTGGAGAACAGCTGGATTTCTGCATGCCATCCCCCCCCCCTTTAATTCTGGTGGTGGAAAGTACCGTCAAGTTGCAACTCCACAAGTTTTTCAAAGCAACAGACATTCATAGGCAGCTTGTCATTGCCTGCGTCCGTATGGCAGCCCTGGACTCCTATGGTAGTTTCCCATTCGAGTACTAACCATGAGTGACTCTGCTTAGCTTCCAGATCTGACGATATTGGGCTAGGCCGGGCCATCCAGGCCGAGGCCTATTTAAATCTACAATGTCTAAAATATTATCAGATCTGGGTGGGTAGTAGGGTTGCCAAGTATAGCTTACCTCCACAGCGGGGGACTCCCGGGTGGATCGCAGAGCGCGCGCGCACCGCACGCACATCACCAGGAAGTGACGTTATGATGCCGGGCACGCTGGGGGCGGGGCCACGACCATTCGAGGGGAAACTCTATGGTTTCCCCTCGAAGGGTCATGGCCTCGCCCCCAGAGTGCCCGGCGTCATAATCTCACTTCCTTGTGACGT